GGTGGGGCCGTGGGGTGGGGCTGGTGGGTGATGAGGTGGGTGATGAGGTGGGGGAGAGCCGGGGAAGAATCACATATAATATTTTACAAAGCAAATTATGGATTTTGATGTGTTTGCATATAATATACTAATATCATATACAACTTTTGGTAGCAATGTCCTCCTAGGACATGTTTGGCAACCATAAGCTAACTTATTTTTTGAGCTTATTGAAAAGCCTCATTTGGTTGGTTAGCCACAAGCTAACTTTTTGAAAAGCTACTCGAATTACAGTTTCAATAAGCTACAGGAGCTTTTTAACAATTATGCCCCTTATATCTTTTGAATTAGTTTTTCAAAATTTCCTTTTAGGTCGTTTTACATGTCATCTAGCTTATTAGTTAGTTTTAACCAAAAATGGCTAGTTTATCACCTAACAACTAGCTTTTAAGCTACTAGCTTATAAGCTAGTTTGCCAAACATAGAGAGGGCCTGTTTGTTAGCAGCTTAATGGAATTCATAGCTTATTCGGTCAGCTTTACATGATGGTTTAATATTGGCCTAATAATATAGGCTCTATGCAGAAAGCCAAGTTTTTTCAAACCTGCCCCTCCAATTAAAAGACACGCCCCTTCCATCTATAGAAAAAATGCTCCCAAACAAAACTTTCCCAATTTATACATACAGATTAATCGACACAGACAACTTTATTCATACAGGACTTAATGGAAAATCAACGAAACAGCCCCTTAATGGTTTTGGACTTGTTTGCAGGTATGGTGTTTTGAAGATTCGAGAACATTGTCTGGATGTAATAGCTTGCAACTTTGAGACATTTGCAGATACACGGGAATTCAGAGCAATCCTTCTAACGCTGCCTCCACCATCAGGAGATTCATCACTTCGTACTACTGCTCCAAGTGCTCCGGGAGCAGAGATAAAGATGACGGAAGGGAATATTCTAGATGATTTACGTGAGAAATGGCTGGAGGTTGAGGCCGGAGAACTTGACAAAAGAGACGAAAGCGCACTGCTTTTTGACAAGCGCCTCGAGATGCTTATGCTGGTGGCAGAACAAGAGCAATCTGTTGCGGCTTATGACAACCTTTGAGCAACGATATTTCTTCTAGATAATCTGTTTTTGCAGCAAATCAAGTAAGATAGAATAGTGTACATGTCATTTTCTTTACTTCCTTCCGTTTACGCCTGGATTTCAGAGTAGTTGTTCTCCAGAATGTGGGAAACATGTTAGATTTTGTCACCTGCATTATAAATTTAATATGACTTTGTACGTTTTCTTAAAGATTGGAACTCAATATGGTAATTCAATTTGAAAGTTAAAGTTGCACTTACGCTATGCTTGACAAACTAGTGGTTGGCTGATAAACTAGTTGTTAGCTTATAAATTAGCTACTAAACTAGTCATGTTTGATACAAACTGGTGAATAAGTTAAATAACACTGTAAAATGACCTAAAAGGACACGTTGAAAAATCAATTGGAAAAATATTAGGAGCATAATTGGAAAAGGGAAATGGAAAAAAGCCCATGAAGCTTGTTGAAACGTTACTTGAAGTAGAATATTAGTTTGTAAAAATGACTTCTATAGAAGATCATTTAACTAAATACCCCGAAAATTTGGAGTAAACTTTATCCCAAATGATATTTATGTAGAAATCATCAATGATACCCCCCAAAACTGGTCTTATTTCATGAAAATATACATCACAATTGTTAAAAATACAACTAGAAACAACAAGAGTAATTACATGTGTAGATTTTACATCTAAAAAGCTTTCCAAGTAATAGAAAACAGAGGAGTTAGCAGCAAATAACAAAATTTACTTATTATCATGAATGATTAATATTATAATCATGTTCGTTATAATTATTCCTTAGTTTTTCATCAGCTGTTTCCTTCAACATTTTCTGTGTTCGCCTCTTTATTCTCGTTTTGGGTAACACCTTCTTCAGTGGAAGCTTCTGCCATGGCCGCACTTCCCTCCTCAGTTGCACCAGGGGTTTCTTCGGGTGGTCTATCTTCTTCATCAACCTTAGCCTTCTGTAGCAGGCTCCAGTACATGATGCTTGCTGTCAGGATCAGAATCATCTTTGGATTAACCTGTCAAAACACAATTTTAACGTAAACTTAATCCATACAGACAGCTTAATTCATACAGACAACATAAAGATTCGATTCTTGACCTCAATAATGTCCTCAGGCAATAAGAAGATGGAACACCCAAGCTTTCTTGCAACACTAATTATATACGTTGCATTTAACTTCTTATCCTCCTCTGTAATTGCAACAAAAAACATTACTTTTACTAGAGTCTACGATTATGATGGGGGATCTACTTCATCAAGTTTAAAAGATTACCAGTCTCGCCCTTGGTAACAAGACCCCAGTTTACAACCCTCTTTTCCACTGCGCTAAGAAGCTCAAGGAAGAATATACCATTCGATAGGTGTTTATCCTAAATGATTGCAAATAACAGTCAAATGTAGTAAAGCAAATACAAGATTTGAGGTCAACTATTTCTGGGAATTTTTCACTACCTTAAAGCTCTCCATGTGTGCTGATTTTCCTGCAAGTTGCACTTTCTTGTTTGCCCATTGAAGGATATCGGCATCAGTAATTTCCTTTCCTTGACCATGCGTTCTCAAGTTTTTAAGAAGTTGAAGCATGCAAAATCTCATTAACTGCCATAAGAAAGCTGGTGCAAGAGCCAAACATAATTAGTAAACTTTTATCAGATGACAAGTATATTGACATGTATCTTTTGTAAACAAACATATCTTCAAATTTTTAGAAGTATTTACTCGAGTAGAATAAAACATAATGGACTTGCATATAACTCTGAAGGCAAGAATATTGATTGAAGTTTGTTATGCTCATCTTCATAAAAGGTATCTCCCTAAAAAACATGTAAGAATTTCATTCTATGCTTCTTAGTCTTTGAGGATATATATGTTACCCCTTGCATGACATATCTGAGTTTTGGTACACATATTTCGACACTTGCAGTTAATAGAAACAAACCCTAGAGGTCGGGGAAATGAGGATGATCTTTTGAAATACAAAGAAAAAGATCGAATGTCACTTGTGAAAGATTTTGGTCACGCATAAGAGTAATGCTCGAAGGGTCCTTGTGAGGGTCTTGGTCTTAAAGACATATAGCTTCTGCTAAGATTTCCCCACTTTTCAACACACAGTAGGAATTGTCATCAAGTGTATTCCATTCTTAGTGCTGTATAACACTAAAAGAACATGTATTTCATTTGCAATGTTTTCCCTATGATCTCTATTCTAGGTATTCAGGTTCCACTAAAATATAACCAGGATTAGGCAAAGTTCATTTTCCACCGATTCCTCTCCCCCTCACTTGTCAAACCAACTAATGGTTTTCATGTCCCGTTGTTAGTATAGGCTCGATTTGTAAAAATTCCTTTACCTTATGCTTTGTGCATTCCTTAGTTTCCTAAAATCCTTGTATATGTAAAATAACTAGAAGTATTAACTATTTAGTAACCTTCTTTCTACACGGCATGATCTGGAAGAGCCTGGAGGATAGAAGGATTCCATGGATGGTGTACCAGGATATGTACGTGCATAAGAGATTAACGCTAATCCCATTCCTCTTCACAGTGAATTTGGATGAGATCTCCCATGGAATCCATTGTAGTATACCTTGGTGTATGTTATTTTCTAACGACATTGTTCTGGTAGTGGAGATGATGGGAGAGGTTAATGTTCTGTTGGACCGGTAGAGGGAGGTATTGGAAACAGAAGGGTTATGTTATAGCCGTACAAAAACAGAATATCATTGGTGCAATTTCAATGGAGAGAGCAAGGGAGAGGGGGTAGAAGTCAGCATCAGGGAGCAGAGGGTACCCCAACAGGACAATTTCAAGTATTTGGGTATGATACAGAAGGATGGAGAGGTTGAGGAAGATGTTGCACATCGAGGAAGAGTGACTGAAGTGGAGGGTGGCCACATGAGTGTTGTGTGACAGGAAGGCCCCGTGAAAATTGAAGGGCAAATTCTACAGGGTGGGCTATTAGACCAGCTATGTTGTATAGGTTGGAATGTTGGATGGTAAGGAAAAGGCATGAGAGAATAGTGAAAGTCACATAAATGATGATGTTGAGATGAACCTACGACAACTATGTGGATAGGATTTCGAATGAGGTTTTTCAAGCAAAACTAGGAGTTGCACCTACCAAAACTATTTACCTTATACAATTATACTACAAATGGCCTCTTTCAGTTCTTATGATTAATAGAAATCTAGAATATGTTAAATAAAAGAAAATACAAAGATACAAACCTATTATAAGCTTCTTGTTTCCTGAAACAATGTCATCTCCAGCAACGTTGACAAGAGAGAAGTTTAATTCCTTTCCAATCCTTATAACTTGGTTGCAATTCTCAACTTTTCTGAAAGGCATCTTAATCGGAGGTTTTGTTGCTTGCTTCCACGTAACAGACCCTGGCGCAAGTTTGTCAAGAACTTCCAGAAGAACCCATCTGAATGCAACAAAGAATGACATCAAATGTGTTTGAATCATGAATTACAAACAAGTCGGGAACTCACCCATTTCTGACATCCTCCCACACGTTGTTAACATGTGTTTCAACTCCAAGACTGTTGATCCACATTCGGAAACATCTTTCTTCCCTCGATGTGCTTTCATCATCGCTCATCATCTCAGCAAGCGAACACTTTGTCTTTTCTAATTTAAGCCCATTCCTGTTATGTAAGAGTAAGAATCAATAGAATCAGACAAAATCTGGTTGAAGAATGTTAACATCGGCAGGATAAGCTAGAGATCCTAACTTTAACCCTACTCTTGCATATTCACTAGTGAATTATTAATGCAAGTTCTAAACAGAAGTAGCAAGACTCGCCTATTGTGGAAAATTTCAGCAACAAATGCAAGATTTAAATTTGTAGACCCCTCCACAATGTCCTTTGATGTAACATATCTTTTGCAATCCATTTTCTCTGCTTGCTCAAGAATCAAGTTTGCTCTTTCCACCGGATCTTTTACCTCCAAAGTTTTGGCGGTACCAAGTTCAGGGGCAAGAACACTGAGTAAATGAGCATAGGCCTCTCCATCCTACAAATGAAAACGCATTAAGAGTAACCATAAATACCCAAATCAGACCAAACAGACCCAGTAAATCCCACACAGACGTAGGGTTTGGGGGGCTAGGACGTATGCGAACATTGTCTCCACCCCAAAGGATAGATGGGTTGTTTCTGTGAAGACGCTCAAAACCAAAACTAACAGAAACAAGCCAGAAAGCTACAGCCTACAGGTGAGTGTGTGTGCAAACAAGTACAATAGACAGAGAATGCATCAAGTAGCAGGCTAAGAGCGTGTTTATTAGCGGCTTGATGAGCATAATGAGACTCAAAGCTTATTTGGTCAGCTATACATGACTGTTTGGTAGTGGCTTAATTGATATAGAAAGTAACTTGTTCATCAAGTTTCCAGAGAGGAGCTTTATGCAGAAAGCCAAGGGGTTTTCCCAAACATGCCCCTCCCATTTAAAAATACGCTCTTTCCATCTATGAAAAAACCATCCAAAAAGACTTGATGGAAAACCAACGAAATAACCCCTAAGATAACCATAGATAGAAAAGCAATAATATGCCTTCATAACATTGCAATTTTATATTAAGCCCAAAAAACATGCATTAATCAAGGCAAATTCCAACATAATGTCACTCATATACATGATGGACCAAAGAACTTTCCCCTACCTTCACATCGGATGAAAAGTTTGTAACTTCCTTTTTGTAGCCTGATTTCTTTAACTGATAATTCATCCATTTCAAAAGAACCTTTTCGGGTGGCAAACCCATGAGCTCTTCTGCTTCCTGTCATTAGCATTGGTAGAACTGGCATGTAAATCAAGGGTTTAGGAAAACGACACAAATTCCATTATAAACCAAACAAGCTGGGACCTTGCTATCTTCAACCATTGCCGCCAGCTCAGGTGTTTTCTTTACATCGACATATGACAGGAGTTGTATCTGAGAGTGCCAACAGTTGGTTAGTAAGAAATCTTCATACAAGCCTTGAATTAATTGACCAGGAGGAAACCAGTAAAAAATACCTTAATAATCTGAGAGATCAATCCCAGTAATAGATGGGGCTGTAAACATGAACCAAAAAGATAGAAATCATTATAAATAAGATCCCATTTCGATCTTGAGTTGGCTTCTTGAGGATTTCTAAGAATGTCTCCTCAAGTTTTTTGCTTAATTTTGCTTCAAATTCCCTAACGTCCCGTTTGGTTTGTAGGATTGGATTGGATTTGGAGGTATTTGGAATTGAATTCCATTCCAATCCCATGATTGGTTTGAAGGATTTCCTGGATTTCAAATCCGAGATTTCGTTGAAATCCCTCAAACATAGGATTTTGAAATCCCACGGGGGTGGTCGGGTTTTGTAGGATTTGTATATAGTAATGTTTTAAAATATGTAAAAACATTTGTTTTCTAGTAATTAACTAAGAAAAAGGTAATTTAATTATTTTTATAATTATTTATAATTTGTTTTTATAAATTATTTATAAAGAATGAAATTTAATTCCATTTCAAGTCCTGCCAAACCAAACAGATCAAAGATTCCAAATCCTTTGAAATCCATATCCCTCCAATTCCAAATCCTTCCACAAAATCCAAATCCCTCAACATTATTCCATCAAACCGAACGCTGAGGAGAGAAAAGATGTTCCAACATACATGGAAGATAAATGGTACAAGTCTAGCCGATGTGGGACTCCAACACACCCCCTCCAACAGATGCTAGACAGGCACAAATTGTACAAAGTAGGCTAGACGGATGAAGGGGGCTAGGCGAGTACAAGTTCCCCAAGTTTCGAGTCCCTAGAGTGGTAGACTTTGACTTTGATACCATGTTAGGATACGTGGAACCCCATCAATTTACTCTTCAAAAGAGCCCTTAGTAGAAAAGAGAGGTTCCTAGTTTCCAACATATATTGAGGATAAATCGTCCAAGTCTTCCAACACTATTTATGATAAAGTAGAATTGTTTGAATCTGTTATCTGTGAGTCCCAAGTTCCCAACTTACTCTTCCTTCAGCCAAGTCCTGTGTGCCAATGTTGACAACAGTGCAGCCTATAGCCTTTGCAGAATTGAGGCAAAGAGTGTGATTTTCGTTTCTTTCCCATGGATTAAGAACCTTTTTCGTGTTAATAGCTCGCTCATCTATCGTACCAGGGACAGCCACATTGATCAGCTTACTACAAAAACACAAATAAACAAAATCTATGAACATAATTTTCTTTAACTAACAAGATAAAACAATTGGAACAAAAACAAATCGTTAATACCATAAAAGAACTCCATCTTTCGCAAGATCAAATAAAGCATTGGTGGAAGGGTCTATAGGAAGATAGTCCTTCAAAAACTTATCTTCTGCAAGATAGTTATTAATGTGGGTAACATAAGAAGCCTTTTCTGTCTCACTAATGCTGTGGCGCAGGGTGGTTGTGGACGATTTTACAAAAGACGAAGTGGTTCTGAACGTTTTTGAAGTCCCCAATTTCGCGCTGGCTCGTGATTGTAAATTCAGATATACCTAAGGAAATGGTTACCTCTATGTTAAAGATTCAATAGAAAAAGGAAAATGACAACCAGATATACAAAATAAACAAACTCACCCGACAGAAGGCCTCGAAATCCAGCTCTTTGGACATGTTAGGATAAGACTCACTAAGCATACGCGTAACATCTTCCTGGGATGATACCTCATTGAAGGGCTTTAATTTTGCCAAAACTGGAGGCAAATCCTCTATTGTGACTGTGCCAGATTGATTTCTGGCTGAAATGAACTACAAAAACAAAATCGAAAACGACCCAAATTTAGGTTTTGGTTATGTTGAATCGAAACAATGAACAAACATGTAGAAATGAAATGGCATACTTTGGTTCTAAGTTTACGAAGCTCCACTTGTGTAAATTGGCTCTGAAGCCATGGATCACTAACAAAGACACCCTCGAACGTAGACATCTTTCACTTGTTTTCCCACGTACCCGATTGAGAAAAATCTTGAAATATATCAACAAAAATCAAACAATCAGACAAATTCTTTACATATATGCAAAGAATCCAGATGAATCAAATGTGTATAAATGCATATTTGATTAACATTCAATCAAAATAACAAATTACGCAATATATCATCATATTCGAGATTTTTTTTTTGGGGGGATCGGATTGTTACCATCAAGAATCACAGGATTCAAGTAAACAGAGATGGGATTGTAAAAACAAATAAGAAAACCTTAACAAAATTGACGATGGATCATGAAATAATCCATATCGGAGAAGCCAAATTATTGAGGTAGGGTTGCTGATAGATCCCTTTTGGTAATTGTTTTGTGAATGGAAGGGGATGGAAGGGGAGTGCATAGAGGGTGGAGAGAAAATCGTATTGCCCATCGGACCCGCGTAAACTTGGGGAATGAGAAGCGAAGGTGAAGGTGAAGGTGGTGGTGGTGATGGTGGTTTATCAATGTGAATAGAATTTACCCTTTTGAGTGCTAAATTTTTTCACTTTGAACTAATTGCAAAATCAGTCCCTGAAGTTAATTCATATTTTATCTTTTGTCAACAAAAGCCTCCGAATCAAGATTTGGTTCTCGTTATAATCATTCGCGTTGAATTTTATGATATGCGACACACATCGGTGTGCAAGTCACATGCACAAAAGGAAGAAACTTACGGTGCGACTTTAGCGACAACAGGACGAGTTGGAAGTTGCACGTGTTAGTAACACATGTCTATGTGTGACTTGTTTGGTTGCATATAAGTGACGTAATCAAAGTATGTGATCGCCCTCATCTACATGAATAAGTAGACCTGAGTGAGCGTGAACACACTTTACAATCGCCTACAGGCGATGGTAGGTTGACTTAGGTTTCGCTCCTCACTTATTCATGGTTGCTTTGTTGTTGGCTTCATCATTTATAGGCATTGAACATATTGGGATCTTATTTGAATCATATGTTATTATATCTGTATCTATGTGTTCTTACTGGATATGTCGTAACATCTCGATCTAGGTTTGAGATATTCTATGAACAGAAGATAAATTCGACTAATGAATGGTCCAAATCGTAAGTTTTATCGACTAATATTTGATCATTTCCTCGAAAGCGTCCAAGTACATTCTTGACTATAAAAGTTTTGAGACATTTGTAAGAATGTAAGTGATGTTACTTGAAGTTACAAAGTCGACATACAAGTCCGAAGCTAGACATGAAACCGTCAAAGGAAAGTAAGCAAGTACGAGGGTTAAGAAAACCATGTGTGTTTCATGTGATTTTTCAAACTGGGGTACACTGCAATATTTTCAATATCTACAAAGTTAAGCGTGAAAACGTTTTGGCTAGATCTGTGGGGGCAAGTATCAGGGTATTGCTAATGACAAGCGAGACACCATGAGTATGCACATAATCAATACATATATTGTGAGGAAGTGGTTGTACTTGGCGTGTTCAGATTTTACCGACACATGTTACGCATGAAAAGGCTTTCTTACCTGACAAAGTACAGGGCTATCAGTCGGCACTTGTAGTCTCTGAAGGATGAGAACCAGCTATGTAGTCTCGATCATCCAAAAAATGATACTGCTGGACTTAGGTTATTATTATAATTGGTAGGTTCAGATGAGTTGGTATGACCACTACCCATGCATTTAGATTTGAGATCTTGACATGTTCAGAATTTCTTTTGTTGCATTTACGTAAGGTTCAGTAGTACTGCATTCTTAGAAAGGCTCTGTATTTTAAATCAATTATGTGCACTATCTATGTCGTATCACTATCTTGCTAGTGATGGTAACTTGTGCTCCAAATCATTGTACTAAAACTATTGCCATACAACGAAAACCGATAGCAGAAAAATCTAGACGATACCTTAGTCAGTGTCACTACTGCCACCATCGGTTGTTGCAACGAAGCTATCAAAACATCAAAGAAACCAAAACAAAACGGGACCTCAAGAATTGATTCTAACACCTGAACCAACATAAATGAGTTCGAACTGCTTCAAAAGTAAAAAACTAAACTAAAAATGATTCTTATTGGGAAATAAGAGCGTTCATATGTATAAAATCACGACTGATGCAGATTTCTAGATCTATAAAATAAATTGTAATTAAAAAACATGTGAAAGTATAAGAACATTTGTATGAACCACAAAGGTGGTGCATGATTGGTTTTAGTTTGGCTCCAAAGGTCAAAAGTATCAGGAGGTCTCAGGTTCAAATTCAAGTAGGAATAAAAATCCCCTTGTGGCCATGGAGGTTCAAATGCGGTGACTCCGTGCTATCTGCAAAGCAGATGGTCGTCCTGGGATTAGTCGGCTCGCATAACGGGTTGGATATTCAGGTTAAAAAAAACATTTGTATGAACGATATATGTCTTGAGATTGTGTAATAATAAGAGTTATAGTGAGAAAGTGACAACAAAACCTTCCTTTATCTTTTAACTACTTTCAACTACCTTTATTGACCCATTTTTTATCATAATTACTGGATTTTTAACAAATTCATGCATGTGAAAGTGATTGAAGGTATATAAAAGTCAATGGAAATGAGTGAAAGTGAAGATAAAGCTGAAAATTAAGGTTGATAAAGGTAGTTGGAGATCCGTGTTTTTGGTATGTGATCGATTGAATGTAATTGAAGATCCATAATTTTTTAGCCGTTAGATCAAAATATCAACTCGTCTAATCTAATGATTTGGAAGTGTTTTCACCATACTCTCATTCTCAATGAAAATTAACCCATAACATGCAAGGTTCTAAATGGCGTGAGGTTTGGCATCGCAGCAGGCCAAGCCTCAATTTTTTATGATCCATGGCGAGGTCGTGACGTTTTCCACAACATAACTTATGACGACAATATGTATTATCATATATCTATACGAGGGAGGTTCTCATGAGAACATTAACTAAATAAAAGAACATGAAAACAACCAAATCACAACGCAAGGGTGTGTCGGCGACGCAGCCCGTGACCTCAGTTCACTGTCAAAATCACGTGAATCACACGTGTACACGTAATTTTAATGTAAAATCACACGTGTACACGTAATTTTAATGTAAAATCACATGTGATTCGACCGTTTTGTTGTTCTTTTATTTGGTTGCTGTTCCAATATAAAGTAACGTCAAACATGAGCTTTGAGTCACGACGCCAGCCATGACAAGCCTTTCAGAACACTAATAATAATATCGTTAAAATTTTTTTGAAATATTAATTTAAATTAGAAATTAGTGAAAACCAAGAAGAAACAACAATAATTCTTTTAGTAGCATAATAAAGAAAAATTATACAACAAAAATACATCAAATTCTCATAAATATTTCAAGTATCAATCAATGAAATACGTAAAAACGATATCAAAAGAATGGCTTTTTTTCTTATCGGTAGCTTCATTCAGACATCCCACTTTGCATATCTTACAAGGTCACCACAAATCCACCGGAAACGACCACCATCATCAACCACCTCCACCCGAGAATCCGGTGAGAAGAGGACGGCGATGACGCCTTCGCAGCTGAACCTGAACCTTTACCACCATCCGCATCTGGAGCATCCGCCACCGGAGCAATATCAGGTACCGGTGCCGGAGCCGGTGCTGGAGGAGGAATATCAGTTCCGAAAATGGCTTCTGGAAGCAACACCTTGTTCACCTGATAAATCGCAACAGGATCGGTGGAATGCACGCTGCTACTCACTTCTGTGTTGGTCCAACCGGACCCAATTCGCACGGTGCCGGAGATATCTGTAAAGTTCAAAGTGTAAGAACCTCCGGCGAGTGTGTTCATTGGGCCGGCGTCACTGAGATTCTTGAAATCCGACAGCGAGTAGTAATGCGGCAGCGCGTGGAAGAGACACAGTTGTTTCAGCTGATCGGCGGTGAGGTTTGAAAGTGATTGTTTTTTGAGGGAAGAAAAGGCTTTATCTTTGGGTACAAAAAGAGTGATGCCTTCATCGGTGTTGTTTGCTTGATTTTGTAGGGTTTCAATGACTTTTGTTGATTCAAGATACTTAAGAAACGTGGAGAACGGGCCGGCGACGCTCAGGAGGTCGGTGAGGTTAACGTAGGTCGGCGCCGGTGCCGGTGCCGGAGTTGGGGTTAAGATGATTGGTGGTGAATGGGCTGGTGTTGCTGCTTGTGTATATGCAAACAGGAGTGTGGTAAGGCAGATGAAGATCTTGCCGGAATCCATGGTCAAGATCTGATCGGAAAATTCAACTGAACACCGATCCTGCAAAACCCATTTGCCAATTTCATCATGATCATCAAAAAAATTACTAAAATTTAAGCAATGGTATTAGATCTCAAGAACTTCTTCTCCATGTTTGACTTTTTTCAAGTCAAACAAGTTGTTTTATAAATTCAGAATTGACCGAAATCGGTTTAGTTTTCAGGAATCATCGATCGATGTTAACTAGATTATGAATGAAGCATTACAATGGGAAAAAAGTAGTTGATAAATTACAAATTCTTATGGCAAAGATTAAAGATTTGACTTTCTAAAATTGGACTCCAATTGAGTATGGTGCAGATGTCTGCATGTTTGAGAGTTATGAAATTACTTAATTACCCTCTAATAAAAAAGATTATGCTATATATATATGGAAAGGAAACAACCAAATAATCCAAACCCAGTTCTCAAAAGATCAAAATCTTTCCTTTTTTTACACCAAGCAAGGTAATTTTCAAGTTCAGGAAGGAAACAGATCTACTGAATCAATAAGCCAATTAGATACAGAACCTATAAAACCAAAGCATTGATATTAAGCCAAAGATCTAAGATCAGATACCAAAGATCCCATCTTTCAAGAACAAACTTCAGAAATTCAAGACCCCAACTTTCAAAAACTTCAAGAAACAACAAGAATTTCAAGATCAGAACTTGGTTTTATCAGCAAAACACAACTGAAACCATTAAAGATTTCTTGCAAGAACAAAAGGGTAGCTAACAGTTTGCAATGTGATTCATTAAGCTAACATACAAATGCAGATCTAGATCTGTTCATCAAGAAACAGCAAGAATCAGTAATGAAAAGCAATACCCACTTCATTTATACAACCAAGAAGACAATGCAATCATCAAATCTGATAATATCATCAAATTTGGGGATCATTTGAAAGGAAACAAAGACTGACCTTTGACAGGAGGAGAGAAAAGCTGAAGTGAGATGATAATGCAGTGTGAGACTGGAATGTATGAGAGAGTATAAATAAGGGGTTTTGTTGATAAAAGTAGTATCTATTGACACTTGACACAGTGGCAGCTGGTGGTGGGGTGGGGTGGGGTTGGTCAAGTCCAAGAAAGCAAGCAAAAGTTTGGTTGTTAAGTTTGGGAAAATACAAAAGTTTGGTGTCACAAATGTAAATCTTATTCATGGGGCCATTTTAATGAATCATTTCAAAATGCATTAATGAATACCAACAAAAACAATGGAAGGTGGCAAATCATACAATGAATAAAGCAAGGTCATAACATCAAATATTGGTTTTTTCTTGGATTCTAAAGAAATAATACTGATAATATTAATTATCAGTATTATTTTGATCTATAAATATTCTCGTATTTTCGTAAAATGAAAAAGTATTCAACCCTGTAACTACTTGTATCCTTTGAAGGTGAGCTCTCTCAATCAAAGATCTCTCCCTCTCAACTAATTTACTTATATAAATGGAAATAAACCATATTGTTTGAAGTGTCCAATCTTACACTCTACCCTACCACCATTACAAGATCTTCAAATAAGTTTCTCTATCATCAATGGAGGTGGAATTTGTTTTCCTTTTTGCTTTTTGTTTGGGGGTTGTTGGAATTTACAATATTAGTCCTTCAACATTGGTTGAATTACACTATTCCTATTTACGCTATGAGATCTACTGATGTTATCTTGATTATTGTCGTCAAGTTATCTTTAACTGTGCATGTGGTTTAGTGAAAATGTTTGAAATGAAGGGGCCGTTTACCTAAACACTTACCCAGTAAGCACTTATCGGTAAAATTCAACACTATCGCTTACTTACCTGGTAAGATTTCATCCACTAAAAAGCATCGTATGCAGCAATTTATCCCGGTAAGCGCTAACCATGGTAAGAGTCGTCATCTTCACTTACCGGGTAAGACTATTGATTCTTGCTTTCGCTCTTACCAGGTAGATTCTTAGTCCTTGTCATATTCATCCGGTAAAGTAAAGTGACTTGGTAGGTGCTTACTCGGGTAAGCATTTGGTAAACGGCACCGAAGTTTTTTGTTTTAAGAAGAATTAGAAAACAAATCAATTTGAAGGGTATTTCTTTGTTGTAGTTTACCTACCAAGGCGCACATATGGATAGGGATGGACCAAGAAATTTTTTCAAACGGTGACACCATTTGACTATAAGAAAAAACTATAGGGAAAAGATTTACCGTTTGACTATAAGAAACAAATATACGAAATCTTATTCAATCGGTGACACCATTTGACTAAGAAAATGACACTAAGATGATTCGAACTTGGGTCTGAGGTGAATAAAAGCTTTGCAAACCAACTCTACCAAATAAAACTTGTTCTCGTTGTAGTTTCAAAATACACACGATGACACACAATAGATTAATACGGTTATACCTTTCATGTACCTTTCGACGGAGGTATAATACGGTGGCACGTGCCACCGTATGCACCACTATAGGTCCATCATTGCATATGGATAATTTAACTTTGGACCTCTACGTACCATAAGCCAATTGTGATTTTTAGGAAACAATTGGGTGACAAGTCTTTATAACTTTTGCAAGATCTCGTATTTGACAAATGACTATAATTATTTTGATCAAAAGGAGACAAGCGTTAGAGCTTGTTTATCTTGAGGTTGGGCTGGAATCGGCTCAATACAACAACGCCTTGGGTATTAGGGTTAACGTTAGGGGTTTCTTGACCGATGCCTACCCCTAGCCTCTCGAATACTGTTTGGGCTCTGATGATCGTAAGACCCCTAAGCAGCGAAACAGCGAAAGGTTTATGATCATAATATCGAAACCAATCGAGACTTTGGGTCTCGCTACCATTTTTATCGGTCTTTAGCTGTCTTTCAACCTATATAGTTGGAGTTGATGCCATTTCAAGCAAACATTAGGAGTGCTTGGATGTACTTTAATTAAGTGATTATTACAAGTTAAAAAAATAAGGATCATATAATTATTGGCTATTTGACAGTTGCAGAATAGTTTAGTACATAATGGTTAAGTGTCAGAATAATTAAGAGCTCTCATGATATAGTGAAAAATGAAATATAATTGTTTTAATAATTGTTTACGATGAAATTAGGGCGCTAAAAGGTTAAAAGAGTTCTAGAATACCAAATCATTCGGAGGGTTTTAGAACCATTAAGAGACAAACTTTTTTTTTTACCAAACAAGATTCACTGTTAACGATTCAGATGTTGCATCTTAATAGAACTATTAAGAGGTAAACAAATCATCATTTAATTATTAAAGCTATGGACATTTAAGTATTTTGGCATTTATTTCAATAAAAAAAAAATATATGAAACAAAAGACACATAAATCGCAAATAGTAAGGTCCGGTTAAGGGTATTTGTAACCGGTTAGGGTAACAGGTCCCGGGTTGGGCCCAATCAGTCCTATATTAAAAAAACTTTTTTTTTATTTTTATTTTTTGAATTTTCTTTTGATAAATTTTTAACAATACTTTAAATGTTATTCTAATACACTTTAAAATATCTACTTGGGTCAATCAAATACACATAAAAAAAATATGTTTTATTGTAGTTTTATAATTGGTTTTCAATCAAATACACTTTAAAAAAAAATACTTTTTATTATAAATTTTTAATTCATGTTCAATCAAACAAACTTAGAAAATTAGAAATACATATAAAATAAAAGGAACTAGAAGTTCAAGCTTTAAATGCGTCATAATCATAACAATCGTCAAATCTCCTTTACAACAAGCCTATTAGTCTTGCATTAAATTAATGGTGTCTCGATGTTCTTCTTGTAGCCGTCAAAGAGCAATGAAGATATATATGAAGCACAGTTTTTTTTGAAGTATATAGTATTTATATACGACAAATAGAACAAATAAACTCACACACTCTCTTCACATTTGGTGAGGTTTGAATGTGTGACTTGCTAGCAGACCAAAAACTCACATACCGCTAAGCCAAATACCTTTTGGTTATCTGAAGCACAGTTGGATATATCACAACTCTACTTATGTGGTTCCCAATCAATAAGAGATTGATTTAAAAGTCGAAACGAGCTTAGAGCCTTCGATTTAGTACCCCTTTCAGTCCTCTATCGTTTAACCTGTCACCAATGCCTATAAAAGATGAAGGTAGTTCTAATGTTAAAATGATCTAATAAACAACCTAAAAACTCCATTTTCTTCATGGGGGATTAAATGTGTCAAAGCTTCTAAAATCTAGGGTTCAATTGTAGATATTGTGATAATATGTGGCAAAAAGATGACTTTTTTTATTACAAGGGTTGTCATAAGAAGCCAAAAAAAACCCTAGGGTAGAAACATGCCTCATTGACACCACATTTTGTCTAATTTTCTTACAACTCCTCAATCTTTTGAATATTTACAATATAGTCCAAATCTTTCATTACTATTTTTTCTCCCCCCCCCCCCTCAAATTTGTTTTCAAATTTCAAGTAAAGACAAACCCTTGATTTGTACATGGGTTTGATGCTCTATGCCTTTTTTTTTTCCAGTTTTTCTTACATGGTCTCACTGAGATGCCCCATATATCGTTGTTCAAATGGTTGTGATTTAATTTTATGAATTTGAATCTCATATTAGCAAAGGCAGAATCATAAAACTTATCTAGAAGGTGTCTAGAAACAATGTAAGTAAATTCATGATTTTAAGGTTGAAAACTTTTAATGAACTGTTAAAAAAAACAGTTATTAAACAACATAACTACGTGTGTGTGTATATATATATATATATACACACACAAATACAAAATGTATGCATAAAGCTGTCCCTGTAGATTGATTTGTCTGTATAGATTGGAAGGTTTTTTCGTATATAAAAGAAACATGTTCTTTTAATTCTGGAGGGGCAAAGGGAAGGTTCAGAAAAGAAAAAAAACTTGGTTTTCTACCTAAATCTCCCCTATAAGTTTTAAGTCATTTCTGTACCATTAAATCACTTATTAATTATAGTTGATCGAATAAATTGTGAATCTTATTAACCTGTTAATAAACAGGAGACAAAAATTTCATCTTTTCAGATACAATTTATCTGATCTTATAGAAAACATGGTTGGATTCATGTTAATTTCAAGATTTGAGGAGGTAGGCATGTGCAAATACATTGAAATTTGGGGGTCAAATAGTAATAAAACATAAATGAATCCTAAAATTTAAATTTGTAATAAAATAAGTTTGGAAAAAAAAACATGGGGGGTTTTGCGTTTTACGGAAAGGTGCGATGGTTATTGTTTCACCAAGAACCAAACCTGTCGGCGGCAGGGTAGGAGGAACATGCGGTATTCCACATGATCAACTTTAATTTTATTTATATAATTTTTTATAATCTATATTATATTATAAAACATTTGACAAAAATTCTTAAAAACTATTTTTTATACATAAAATATTGTTTATTAGTGCATGTTACTTAAAACTCAAAAATACAAATAGATTGTGCGTAAGTACAACTTATTAAAGCTCCATATTTGAATTCGTGTAATTAACTGGAGATAAAAATAATCAAATATAAGATAAACAACTCATTTTAAATTTAAAAAAATCTAAAAATGTAATTAGGATAATAATTGAGGTCTAACAAAATACTTAATTATTACATTTATAAAATGTTGTATTATTAAACCAAAAATAAATTATTTTAGGGAAAATTGCACCAAAATGGAACCAACTTTCACCTGATTCCTATTTTGGGGAACCAACTTTCAAAATTGTCATTTAGGGGTCTCTATCAAACTTTTTGTTTATTTAAGGGTCTAGTTGACATGTTTACATGTTAATGTTGACATCATTCAGATCTTTTGTCAACTAAGATATTTCACGTCATATTAATTTTTTATTTTAAAATTAATATTCCACGTCATATTTAAAATTATAAAATAATTATAGAAAAATAACTAAAATTCGTTTTTTTTTTCAAAAATTATTGGAATAAAATTTATTTTTCATTCCAAATCTTGTTTTTAAAAAAAAT